TTGCCCGCTTCAACAACTGGATGCAGAACGACTTTGGCCCCGCGCCAAACGCAGCTGCATTGAACCGCCCCGACAGTACGTAATGATGAGGATTGTAGAAGGACTTGCTGGTCTGAGGGCTGAGCTGGCATTTGATTACTTGACCGTGCGCCTGGTAAGAGTGCTACCTGCAACTACCACCTCTGCCTCGTACAGGAAATAATAGAAGATTAGCATACAATGCACAAACTCACTAACTATAAGATATCCATGATAGAGACAGAAAGCCCACAGACAGAGTCACAGCAACACTACCTCTCACGTTGATTAGCAAAACTGACCCTTTGAACTGCGATTCCCTCTTTTCGTTGGTCCACAAGTTAGTTGCTCATCTGTGTTTGTAGACACGACACAATTTGTGAACATACTACACTGCAAAGCCATAACGCAATACTATGTTGTCACACAAGTTCCGGTGTACCCACCAATTATTAAATACTATTTTTATCTATTCACCAGATGGTACACACAGCAATATCTGCGGCCAATCGTCAATGAATGAAAAGACAGGAACCTGTCGCATACCACTTTTCAATGCACGATGCCTCTGGTTGAACAAATGTTGAGTGTCCGATCCCAAACTCTTGATCAGAAGGGGTTTTTTTTCTGTGTATCTTTTCAAGAAAGAGGTGTGGAGAGTAGGTTAAGTGGTGATAGATCCGAGCCAAGTCCTTGTTGTGAGGTAAAAACAGACCTATCCATCGAGAAACCTTCCGTTTCTGATCGATATGGGTCGAGCGTCACCAGGATAAAGCAGCCACTCTGATTTTCTTTTGAGATGTTAACGATGAGATCAAGGTGTGGAAAGAATGGTTACACATTGTCTATCATATTAGGCAGTGGGAGCTACCAGTGCATAGCTTCCATCGTAGTCCAGCAACAACTCGCAAGAAGCGTTCTTCGACGAAGCTGGATTGAGGCTATCGGAACTCTTGGATTATTGGAGTAGTACCGCTGTTGCTTGTAGGAATAACGAACATGTAGCCCACTCACCTTTGCCGCTTAGTTTGTTGGATAGCTAATCATACATGCGAAGAGGAAGTACGAGTAATATCATCTAGTGAGAGAGGCCTTTTTTGAATAGACTGTCTTGGCGGTATGCCCTAGGTATAGAGAATCACAGCACGCCAGCGTTTTGGAAATCACAACGGGAAGGGGTCGGACATTGCCGCGAAGAATGGGGAAGGGGAAAATTGTATGCTGAGCTCATTCAGAAGTGTGAAGAGTAGAGATCTTAAATGTTGTGAAGTCGTTGAACGATAAAAGAGTGATTCATGGTTATTGTATTGTAACACACCTAAAGAAACACCTAATGGCAGAGGCTGCTGCAAGCTGAGGAGTGAGGAACGGGTGGTGACAAGAATTACGGCGGTTGACCACAACGGCGTCGTGAATTAATAAGCAAGTGAGCCAGCAAGTGGGACAAGTTTAACCCGCTGCTATGAACATTTTAGAAACCCGTGAGAGTTAGAAAATGTGAACCTATAAAAACAACGAAAATATCTACAATTCTATACTAAATTCACTGAAAAGCCCATCTGATAGAGTATCATCAGATGAGTCGTGAGACGAGGACGACATATCCTCATCTTCAACAAAGTTGTTGTTAGCATCTAAAGCCTCCTTGAGCCGTGCGCTATCCTCCTCCCTTATCGCTTCCCTGCACCATCCTTCACAGAGCTGTCTCGTCACATTTCCCAAAATTTCAACAGTCCTACTTTTGACCTGGAAAATGAAATAATGTCGCTTAAATACCCCTTGATGCAAAGAATATTCGAAAAAGTTACTATTTCCAGCCTATCCGTGGGACGTCCTATCTTATTGAGGCGCTGTTTAAGATGACTCCAGCAAAGCTCCACAGGGTTGAAGAAGCAATGGAATGGAGGGAGCCTCAGTAGGCTCACTCCCATTTCCTCGCAGATCTTCTCAGCGGCGTAACAGCGCAAGGCTGCTGCGCCGCCTCTAGTGGCGACGAAGTGGTCAAGCTAAATACTGCTTGAACAGAGCAGCTACGGCCGTTTCGAGACGTGCACCAACCTCTTCTAGAAGAGCTTCCTTTGTACTATCCAGTCCCACTTCGACGCCGTGCGAGCTGAGATAATTCCATATTTCCTGCACCCTGGAGCTTCTAGTCGGAACCTGATATCACTAAATTCAGGATTCGTAGCGCGTGCGTATATTCTACACCCACCTTCTCTAGCACTCTAGTATGATAGGGAGCGTTACCAGAGTAACGTTCCGACCCGCGGCGAACTCCTTCATGAAGGGGACTGCGGACCTTAGCCACTCCTCGAACACCGAATGATCCATTTCTCGCTGTACTTCGTCCTGCGCAGTCCGTTGCCTACTGACGAAAACATGGGTGCAACCAGGTATCACTGGTCCATCGTGCCGTTATTACAATGCCGCGCCTTCCCTTATTCTTTCCAGCAGTCTTGCCGCAAGAGTACTGTCGCAGCTCTTCGGCGGTAGGGAAGCGCGACAACGTGTTGTCGATCCATCCTCTCCTCTTGACCATACCTTCGAAGACCCATGTTTCGTCATGTAGACAACGCAGTCCCCTCTTCTCGGGCCTCTTCTTTTATCAAGAATAAGGATCGCCTGCGGGCAAGATCTCGCTTGCGTTCGAAGATGTAATGTTGCCCCTTAAGGATCTTGTACGAGAACCCGAGGCCCTTCATCAACCTCCACAGAGTCATCTGTGACAGCGCGAAATTCGATAGGCTGCAGTCATTTGCTGGTGCAGTTCCGCGGATGTTACATCCTTCTCTTCCTTCAGCAGTTCGTGAACCAGACGCTTTATTCGCTCACCCCATAGCGTACCGTGGTTATTTAAGGCGGCCATGACCGTTGCTCTCCTGGAACGACTTTTTGGAGCCGGTCGACGGATCGCACGGCCGACCGGTGTGTTACTAACCCGTTCGACAGCTTTGTCGGACACACCGCACGCCGTGGCAGTTATCGCTATCACTGAATCGAAAACGGTTCCACGTGCTGTAGAGATGTTCTTTCAGCTGAGCGAAGAAGCTGCTTTACGTTGGCGATGACGGCTCTCGCATCTGGGGTGATGGCGCCCTCTAAGGTTACTTCCCTCACCACTCATGAGCATGCCATACGAGATAGCATGCAGTGCCTTGCAAAGGCACTTTTCACCTTGAGGGCGCTCTCCAGCGGCTGGTCGCGATACAACACTTTCCTGAAGCGTCTTTCCTCTTCAATGAAGCGAACAGCGCAATCGTTGCACATCAAAATCCACTGACCACCACTTCTGGACAGCGCACCACTTCCCTCTGTTGTCCCAGCAGAAGCGCTCGCGCAATGGAAGACTGAAGACAATATCATAACTATATTATGACAAATATTATCAAAAGAATGGAAGTAATTTTCAGCTTACGAAGTCACGTGCTCCGCTCATTTTGCAGGAGGAACTTTGGAGGCTAAAACATAAGCCTTATTACCTTTTTAGAGTTGAGGTAAAAGACAAATGGTTGGGGGACGACATGAAACGGTAGCTGACAAACCACACTCACATAAGCAACACGCATTGGTTGTGAGTTACTTTTTATTAGTAACTAACTTATATAACAAAAATGAAGTGTTACTGAACTATTTCCTGCTGAGGAAAAGGAGAGAAAGAATCCCTCTAGTTGTTAGTAACAAAATCGTGGATGGTCGCAAGAGATTAGAAATCACAAAAGTGCCACAGCATCAAAGAACAGCCACATGAAATGAAACTGTGTTTGTTAGTAACAAAAGAAGCTGTAGCGCAGAACATAGGCGACAAAGAGTGAATTGAAGACGAATCGCAAAAAATGCAGCACCGCACAGTCCCCAAAACTCAAGCAGAAACCTGATAGAAGTGGTGACCAAATTGTACATTCTCTGGAAAAATTGTGAAGAAGTTGTCAATGCCACCAACAGAGCAAAGGAGGAGACACCTAACGAATGAAAAAAACACCACGAAAAAAGTAGACTACAAGAAGTAATGACGACTGCAGTGCTCCTCCGAAAGAACACGCATTTAAAAAAGACTGCGAGCTTCAAAGCCCTGTGTCAAAGTGTCTTGTGATCGTAAACAAGAACACAAAAATGACAAAGTAATGGAGAAACAGTTGAACAAAAAAGAATTAGAAAAAAATTAAAAAAACGGAAAACTCACCGCAACAGGATGGGAAGCAGATCACAACAGCGGCGAACCTTCAACAAAAAACGTGTTCCAAAAATATCGCGAGCTTTAAAGCTATGGTAAGCTGTGTTCCAAACTTGAAAGGAACACGAGTCATAGCGATAAAAGAAGCGAGTCAAAACAAAAGAAAGTTAGCACAAAATAAAAAAGAAATATTACGCAACAGGCCGGTCACACCAGAGTAGCATGACAAAAATATATTTCAAAAAGACTGCGAACATTCAAAACTCTGTTAAAGTGCATTTCTAATCATAAAGAGAACACGTACACTGGATAGAAGGATGAAAGATGCAGTCACATAAAAAAAGCAACCAAAATAATAAAAAATAGAAATCACAACCAATCTGCCAGGAAAAAATGCCCACTCAGCAAAGGCCGGAAATAAGGAAGTCCACTTCGACTGCAAACTTCAAACCGATGTCAAAGAGTGTTTAAATCATAAACAGAAACACTTCAAGACACAGCGATGAAGTTAGAGCCAAAAAGAGAAAAGAAGACATGCGATCGGCAAGTTGCAATAAATGCCTGAAAAAGCAAAAATACGACAAGAAGCTAACTTCAGTATTACCGCCACGGTACCGTAACCCAAGCGGCGCCCTTTAAATTGGAAGTCTGTCGTAGGCGCGCTAAAAACTTCAGCACGGACGCTGGAACTGCGCCATTATTTCCTTTTTCTGGGTGGAAGAAAACGATGTACGTTTAGGATGTCGTTGTGAGGACTTCGATGTGAGGATGCCGGATCTATCCTTCTATTCACCCTTCCTTCAAGCACTTTGATGGTGCTGCACGTTTGATGCTAACCAGTGTTGGATAGAGACGGCTTTCCAAGTGTGCTGTAGTATACAATATTTATACGGGTGTATATTAGCCTCATCGCCTGGAAAGGTAGAATTGGTGGTATTGCATGTGGTTGGGCGCGTTCACAACTACGACTTTTCAAACTGGGAATAATTTTTTCTCCTAGTTGCACCAGAACGAGTCCGAACTGTAGCTGCACCAAACTGACGCCAAATGGTACCGTCACGAAAAATGTCACGTCAGTGATCAGATCGCTACTTTTTACGTCTAGTTGTAATAGTGGCGTCTTTCGCTTCTGCAATCACTACGCGTGCAGTTAAATTTTCATGGAATAGGTTG